AAGCTACCAAATATTAGAAGAATTAAGTACATATAAAAATAAAACAACATACACTTTAGAATCACATAATTAAAACATATCACTTAAAACAATTACTTATGGTGAATGATGGATTAACAGGGAAAATAGATATAACACGAGGCACGCGACAGGGATGTCCTCTTTCCCCAATTCTATTTGCCATTGTAATGGAACTATTAGCTAATGTAATTAGAGATGATAGTAGTATAAAAGGAATAGGAATAAAACAGAAATATAAAATAAATTTGTTTGCAGATGACACCCTTTTATCAATGGAACATCCAATAAAACATTGGGAGAAAATTGAGGCTCATTTAACAGAATTTGGATTAATGACAGGGTTACAAATTAATTGGAACAAATCAGAAATGATGATATTTAATTATCGAGAAGAAGAGATAAAAAATATAAAACAGGAAGGGAACATTAAAATTAAAATCAAAGAAACAATTAAATATTTAGGAATAAATATAACTAAAGATTTAAAAAATTTAGAAATAAATAATCTAACCAAATTAAGAAAGGAAATTGATAAGAAATTGCTGGAATACAATAAGCTCAAATTATCATGGTTCGGTAGGATAGCATTAATTAAAATGAAGATATTACCCAAACTAAATTTTCTATTTAGAATGCTACCTGTAAAAATTTCAGATCAAGAAATAAAAATCTGGCAAAACATGTTAAATCTGTACTGTAATAGGAACAAAAAAAGCTAGAATAAATAAAAGTTTATGGTATAAGTCTCAGAAAGAGGGAGGTCTTGGATTACAAAACCTCAAGTTATATTATCAATCAAATCAAATAAGATATATAGTAGAAAGTTTAGCAAAACAAAAGAGCTTGGAGTGGTTAGAAGAAGATGATAAAAAATTAGAACTGAAATTAGAATACATTTTTTATAGGGGTAATAGAGAAAAGGGTAAAAAGAAATGGTATAACAATTTAAACAATCCCTTTCTAAAAAATATTTTAGAGATTTGGGGAAGATATAAAAAAACCCTAATGCCAGGTATTTCTCCTATCATGCCAGTTTTAATGACAGAAAACTTCCCAGAAAATTTAAAAAAAGAACTTGAAGTAGAACTTAATGGAAGAGGTTTAATGAAAATAAAAGACTGGGATCTGAAAATGGTAAATATGGAAAGAATAAAAGAGGAATTAGGAGACTTAGATTGGTATAAGTATTTACAATTGGGTAAATGGTCAAGTGATATAAGGAAAAAGTATAATGGAGGTAGGGAATACACAAAAATAGAAAAGATGATAACTCAAAGGGAGACTAAAGAAGAGAATATAACATTAAAAGGCACAGTAAGTCAGATCTATAAACTGTTATTAATGAATGAACAGGAACAAGATTATTTGAAGGAAGTATGGGAAACAGACTTGGGGGAAAAAATGAATAATCAAGAATGGGCAAACATATGGAATATGAGGATACTAAAAAATATGTCTATCAGAATTAAAGAAAATTACTACAAAATGATATGGAGGTGGTATCTAACCCCTATTAGATTAAATCAGATTGATAAAAAATATTCGAATCAGTGTTGGAGAGGTTGTCAGGAAATAGGGACGTATCTACATATGTGGTGGTCATGTTATATTATACAAAAATTTTGGAAAAGCATATTTAAAGAAATAAGAGCAATAATAAAAATGGAGACTGAGATTACACAAAATTAGCTTTATTACTTATACATGATAATATAATTCCCGTACAAGAAGAAAAGGAATTGGTTTCTAATTTGATAACAGCAGCTAAATTGTTAATAGCAAAAAATTGGAAGGAAAAAAAAGAAATTCAATTAGAAGAATGGTATAGGGAAATTTGGAATATAGCGATTAATGATAAGCTAACTTGCAATATTAAAATTAAAAGGGGTATATGTAAACAAACAGATTTTTGGAAAATATGGGGAAAATTTATTGAGTATGTGTTTAATGAGGGAAAGGGGTATAAGCCAGCAAGAGAAACAATGATATTCTGGAATTGTGAAACAACATGAGTTGGTTGGTCCTGGTGGAGGGGGCACAAACTAAGGGTAAGGGGAAGAGGGGGGGGAGTATTAAAGAGAAATAACAGGAGTGGACCATGGTCAATATCCAAAGAGCGCTCATCATTATGTTTCCAAAACAAAATAAGATTGAATGATGGGACATGTCTAGGATGTGCATGTTGCATATATGTTACTATCATATTGTATTTGGAGAGTGAATGAGTGACTTGATTATAAGGATTGGTCAGATTCTAATTATTATTATTTTGTTTTGTAAATTGAGAGAAGTCTGAATTGACTTATAGTTAGTTAAGAATTTGTAGTAGTTATAGAGTATAGGAATAATTTAGTGATAAAGGTATGTTTACTTAATGTTTATGTTAAATTGAATAAATGCAATTAAAAACACTTTGCAAAAAAAATAATAAAATAAAATAAAACAATTACTTAAAATTACACAGTCCAAAAGCATATTCCAAAAGCCATTGAGATATTGTTACTTGCATTATTCATTATTGCACTAGGAATCATTGGGCAAACATTTGGTCCCACAACCATGTCTTCACTTGTTTTGGCATAAAATTAGCATCTTTGATAGATTAAAATTACAGTTTATGCAAAATATCACAGTTAATTGAACTTCCTTTTTAAAAAAGAAATAATTTTTGTTATGAATGGAACAAAAGGCCCTGAACCATAAGTGATATTTGAACTCTAAGGAACTTCTTTGCTTTTGCTAATTTTGAGGAAAAGGCAAAAACTCTTCAATAAAAGCAGAAGAAAGCATCAGCATTATTTGAACTGGGGTGGAAAATCTCCATTAGTTCTCATGTCAAGTAGATGCAATGGGCTTATTTGCATAAAAAGAAATGAGGAAAGGAAACTGAAGAAGAATTTTAACAATATAAAGTTGTACATAGTTTAATGTGAATGCCTTCCACTTCCATAATTTTTGAAATTTAAGGCAGTATATATGTGAACTCGTTATCTTCAAAATTTTATTCATTATTTTAAAAGAAAATATTTAATCAGATTTTTCCCTCCAGGGGAAAAAAAGGTTCTGAAAAAAATAGGTGGAGATGGTATTCTTTTCCCCTGAGCCTTCACATCTCAAGTGTTCAAAAACAATGTGTGTGCATATTGTTGTTCATTCGTTCAGTTGTTTCCAACTCTTTGTGACCTCATGGACCAGCCCACGCCAGAGCTCCCTATCAGCTGTCACCTCCCCCAGCTCCTTCAGAGTCAAGCCAGTCACTTGAAGGATGCTATCCATCCATATTGCCCTTGGTTGACCCCTCTTCCTTTTTCCTTCCATTTTCCCCAGCATCATTGTCTTCTCCAAGCTTTGCTGTCTCCTCATGATGTGGCCAGAGTACTTCAACTTTGCCTCTAATATCCTTCCCTCCAATGAGCAGTTGGGCTTTATTTCCTGAAGTATGGACTGGTTGGATCTTCTGGCAGTCCAAGGCACTCTCAGAACTTTCTTCCAGAACCACAATTCAAAAGCATCTGAGATACCTATATGAAATACAGTTGAGCATCCATAATCCAAAATTATCCAAAATATGCCAAAACCCAGAGTTATCCACACAGCGATAGTGACACCTTTGCTTTCTGATGGATCAATGTATAGAAAGCTGGACAACCTAGCAAATGCTTAAAGAAGACATATTCTTCCAGACTGACTAAATGAAATCAGAGATCTCGGTTCCATGGATACTGTACACAAACTTTGCTTCATGCACAAAATTGTTAAAAACATTCTTTATAAAATGACCCTCCAAAATAAGGACGAAAAATAGAATTGTACAGGTTGAGTATCCTTCATCCAGAATTACTGTAATCTGGAATACTACACCATTTAATTAGCCCCCAGTACACGCAATAGCCTGAAGGTAATTTTGTTTGGGATCCGAATCCACAAGCTGGCTTGTTACTACAAGATCAAGAGAGTACTTCCACCTAATTGGAAATATGAATAATCCACAGCATCTGCTCTGGTTGCATAAGATTTTTTGCACAGTGGATAAAAGCACTAAGTTGCTGAACTTGCTGACCAAAAGGTTGAATTCGGGGAGTGGAGTGAGCTCCAACTGTTAGCCCCAGCTTCTGCCAACCTAGCAGTTCAAAAACATGCAAATGTGAATAGATCAATAGGTACCGCTCCGAAAGATAACGGCACTCCATGCAGTCATGCCAGTCACGTGACCTAGGAGGTGTCTACTGACAACACTGGCTCTTTGACTTAAAATTGAAGATGAGCACCAGAGTCCCAGAGTCGGACACGACTCTGCCAAGGGGAAACCTTTACTATTGCCTTTTTACAACATTTTACAACATTTAAAACTGCCCACATGAGTGTTTGAATTGGTGATTTCCTTTCTAATAGTTCAGTGTATACAAACTTTGCTCCATGCACAAAATTATTAAAAATATAATGCATAAAATTACCTTCAGAATATTATGTATACAGTGAATATGAAACCTAAATGAATGTTATGTTTAGAATTATGACTAAACTTGAAGATACAGCATTATCTACACATGTAAATATAGGTATTCCAAAAATCGTGAAGTGGGAGGGGGGATAGAATCCAAAACACTTTTGATCCCAAACATTTAAGACAAAGGATATTCAATCTGTACTTAGAATATTCTGTTAGATATTGCTGGTGTGTTCCCCTAAATGACAGTTCCTCTGAGAAGGACAGATGATGACACTAGATAATACATCAACTCCATGGTTAAGAAATTTGTATATTTTCTGCAAGGGAATGCAATATGAGGGTGCTGTTGCATTCATGTCCTGGTGATGGTCTTCTTACAGGCAACCAATTGACCATAATGTCACAGTATACTGAGGCATTTGAACCTTCGATCACATCCAGCATAGCTCTCCTCAAGTTTGTATGGTCTTTCCCTTCTATTTAAGTGTTTGAAAGGTACCTTTATCCCCTCTGTTTCTTCCTCATCCAGGTCAATGCTTTCATCTCCTTTGTGTTCCCGATGGTTATCATCTCCGTGCTGAACACCATTATCGCCAACCAGCTTATCATCATGTTCAAGCAAGCCGCACAAGAAAACCAGGTGTGCACTATTGGAGGGCAACAAACCATGCTCAGCATGTCTATGGAACCAGGGCGCGTACAAGCCCTGAAGCACGGCGTTCGAGTCTTACGTAAGTTTTGCTATGGTTTTAAGCACCATTCGTTTGGATCTTTCTCAAAATCAATTTGCTTCATCCTGTCTAGGAGTGAATCTACACTGTAGAATGAATGCAGTTTGACACCACTTTAACTGCCATGGGCAGGGGCGGCTCAACCCATTATGCAAAGTAAGCATTTGCAGTATAGTTGATTTTGGCCAGGGGCGCTCTTGAGGTGCTCTTGGGGGGAAATAGACCTTGACATATGCGAGTTGTAGTTATTGGGATGTATAGTTCACCTACAATCAAAGAGCATTCTGAACTCCACCAATGATGAAATTGAACCAAATATGGCACACAGAACTCCCACGACGAACAGAAAATATATATCAGTGATTGGTTGGGGGGGGGGGTGCCAAAATACTGTTTGCTTACCGTTGAAAATTACCTAGGGCTGCCTCTGCATGGGTCAAGACTATAAGATCATAGTTGTGGTTAGATGAGGCACCAGCACTCTATGGCAAAGAAGGATAATGACTTTGTAAAAATTACAACTCCCATGATTCTATGGCAGTTAAAATGATGTCGAACTACATAATTCTAGTGTGTAGAAGCCCTCTAAGTCACATATATTAGAGTAACACAGCCAGAAAAGCATCCAATCCATTTCCTTTCCATATCAAAACTAACAGGATTTTACCCGCCATGTTAAGCGACAGAAAATACAATATTTTGCTCCAGTCCCAATTTGTACATGTGTACTCTTGAGTTTGGAATTCACCGAGTTAGCTGCCAAAGATTTCATCTTTCCAGGTTTCTTGACAAACATTGTGGTTGATCATAACTATAATAATAATTGTTTATTTACTTAACCAGTCATATGATCATTTCAAAATAGAACACGAGTAAAAAAGAAGGCAAAAAGGTAAGGAAGAGTCTAAAGACATGGTTATTTGAGAAGGCGTTTGACTAAGTGCTACAATTATTGGTAATGACGATCGGAACGGAATATGGATAACGAGTTTGGTTTATGATTCTACAATGAGACGGCGCGGATGATTGAGTGTAATGGTATTATTGATTGTTATGTTGATTTTGTTGTGATATTGTCTATTGTAAACTGTTTTTATATGTTGTACACCGCCGTGAGTCGCCCTAGGGCTGAGAACGGCGGTCAACAAATGCAGTAAATAAATAAATAAATAATAAATAAGGACAGCAGCTGACCTTCTATTTACAGTCAGAGCCCTATTTTCCTGGTTCTTCTTTCAGGAAATCTGCTCTTTTCTTGATAGCTTTCAGAATAGAAAGGCTTACTCTGATTATCCTGGATCTTTCCTGTCCTTGCAAGAGGGATGTCAGAAGATAATTTCTGTTGGGGGACCTGCAGTTGGATAATATTGGATGTAAATATCTGTCTCACAATTCAGTATATGCTGGACAGTCAATTAAGAAATGTTCAATATCTTTCACAGTTACCCTAACCCTAACCCCGTACACAGCATCTCTCATTTCTTGGGATGCTACAGTAATGCCCGGTTTGCATCATAATACTGAGTTGTTCAAACCTAGCCCAAGTATATATTCTTCTTAAGGGTAGTGGAATAGTTAGATGGTGTTTTAAATGAATATTCCTTTTGTGAGAAGCTAAAAACCTTGTGGCAGAAGACCTACCTATGCTTGCTAGGTCCAGTTGAGCATAGATATCTCGAGTGCATTGCATGAGCACTTGTTTTGTGGTTGATCATAAGAATTTGTCATCTATGGCCATGTATACACCAACTGGATAAAACATTTGAATGTATTTTTTTATCGTGTCAGAAGCAAATTGAGAATGCAGTTATAATGTATAAAAAACCACAAGCAAAGTTAAAAACTTAGCATTATTCTAAATTTCCTTTGACCAGAAGCTAGCGACTTGGAGTGCCTCTGGTGTCACCTTAAAAAGGTCCTCTGTGGTGCATGTGGCTGGCCTGAGACTTCATTGTAGTAAGTGGTCTGTGGTTTGCTCTTCTCCCCACTTGCATATCATGAATTCCACTTTGTAGACCAATTACTTAAGATTGGTTCTGCTTCTCATGGTGCCACAGCGCAGTCTGTTCAGTGCCTTCCAGGTCACCAACTCTTCTGTGTTCCCAGGGGGGAGTTTCTCATCCGGTGTCAGCCACTGATTGAGTTTCCGGGTTTTTACCTGCCATTTTTGGACTCTTGCTTGCTGAGGTGTTCCTGCGAGTATCTTTCTAGATCTTGGGAACCTGTTTCTTGATTTAAGTCACTGACGTGCTGGCTGATATCTAAATAGAGGATGGACCAGAGATGTCAATGCCTTGGTCCTTTCATTGCTGGCTGCTTCTTCCCAGCGGATGTCAGGTGGTGGAATACCAGCCAAACAGTATAATTTCTCCAGCGGTGTTGGGCATCATTATCCTGTGATAATGCAGCATGTCCCATTAAGAGCCACATCCACTGATTTAACATAGCGAGATGTATTCCATACTGGGCATGCGTACTCAGCAGCAGAGGAGCAAAGCACAAGGGCAAATGTCTTCACTGTGATCTCCAGGTTGTGCCAGTCAGCTTTTGTGTGATACTATTTCTAGGACTATTTCTAGGTGCCCCCGGTGGTGCAGTGGGTTAAAGCGCTGAGCTGCGGAACTTCTTGACTGAAAGGTCGCAGGTTCGATTCCAGGGAGCGGCGTGAGTGTCCGCTGTCAGCACTAGCTTCTGCCAACCTAGCAGTTCAAAAACATGCAAATGTGAGTAGATCAATAGGTACTGCTCAGGCGGGAAGGTAACGGCGCTCCATGCAGTCATGCCGGCCACATGACCTTGGAGGTGTCTATGGACAATGCCGGCTTTTCAGCTTAGAAATGGAGATGAGCACCACACCCCAGAGTCAGACATGACTGGACTTAATGTCAGGGGACAACATTTACATTTACATATTTCTAGGACCCACTTTTTGCTTGATTATCAACATTTAAAAAAAGACTAAAAACCCTTCTTTAAAGAGAGTTTTAGAACCTGAGGGACATTTCAAGCACCCAGAGCAGTCAACTATGGTTTTCTAAGGACTGAGCCCCATGAGAAATGACCCATACTGCCATGTTATCCAGTTTTTGAATTTACACTGCCATGTAATCCAAACCAAATTATCTGAATCCGGGGAGAGCGCGGATGAGCTCCATCTGTCATCTCCAGCTCCCCATGTGGGGAAATGAGTGTAGCCTCCCACAAGGATGGCAAAACATCAAACATCCATGTGTCCCCTGGGCAACATCCTTGCAGACTGCCAATTCTCTCACACCAGAAACAACTTGCAGTTTCTCAAGTTGTTCCTGATACAAAAAGAAAAAATCTGGATTTGGAAACTGGATTATATAGCTGTGTGGATGGTGCTTTAGCTGCCCAAGGAAATTCAAGAAGGATAACCAGAGTATTGCTATAATGGATATCTATCTAACATATGTGGATCTCATAGGTAATGAACCACCCAATGGGGCCACCACTTTCCATCTGGGCATCATGTTTAACTTTAGTTGAGCTAACATCCTTGAACTAGTCTGCACATCTGAAATAGAAACAACTTAAACTTTCATTTCCTTATTTCTATAGCCATACTGGATTGTGGAGTTGCTCCCTCATCCCATTACTTTTGCCATAACTCTCTGTATAATTTCAAACAATGACACATTTGGAAGCCTTAGGAGAACAACAATATCTCCCGAGAATTACAAAATTCTCTTTTCCACCATTACACAGAAATGAGACTCAATCAATCTAAGCCCTGTTATGAACAGCAGGCTATTATGGGAGCAAATTACAACTTTCATTCTCCTCAAAAATCAATGTGCACACATAATGTTATATAGAACCTATTGGGAGAGCAATATATTCTAAATAATTTTATTGTCTGCTGGCAAAAGAGAGGTGAATTTATCTACCAGGTAGCCACATGCTTTTATATAACTAATCAGCCCTGGGGTAGTTACTCAGAAAATGGAAAGAAAATCCAGGAATGCAAGAAACTTCCATTATGGTTACGCCTGGGATTGCAAACTGCATATTCACACATTTGGACAACTTTTCTATAGCAGCAGGTTTTCAAATAGAATTTGCAGCCGGAGGGTAGAGAGAGCAAGATGGTAATATGTTGCATAAATTTGAAATTACTGTTCAAAACAAAGATAAAAAATACAATAGCAAAATGATCAGCAATTAAGTAGAAATCTATAATCTGCCCTTAGACCAGACAAATTCTTAATAAGTAGGAAAACATGGGATGGTGTGACAGAAGTAAGAAATTGAGCAAGCCTATAGTTATAGCTGTAGTTTGTATGTCCCTCCAGGTGTTTCTTAAAGGTACAGCATGCATTTGCATAATTTCCTGTTTGTTACATTTAACCATATTTCTTTCTCTTTTGGCAATAGTACACTTTATTTATATTCCACCCTATCTCCCGATGGGACTCGGAGTGGATTACAGCATAAATATACAAACACAATCACAGGCAAACATTCAGTGCCTTGATACAATGAGACAAAAATTCACACACAAAGGCAAAGGCTTCCCCTTTCATCTCTGGTTCCTGAAGGCAGTGCTCAACTTCGGCTCTGGGGGAGGTGTTTATCTTCATTTCCAAGCTGAGGAGCCTGCGTTGTCCATAGACACCTCCTAGTCATGTGGCCGGCATGATTGCTTGCAGTGTCTGTTTGCCTTCCCGCCAAGGCAAATGTGGGGAATTCACATTTGCATGTTTTCAAACTGCTAGGTTGGCTGGAGCTTGGGCTAACGCCAGGAGCTCACCCTGATTCGAACTGCCAATCTTCAGCAGTTCAGCAGCACAAGCAGCACCCATTGCACCTCCGCAGCCCCATACATGGTATCTTTGTCAGTCTGCAATCAGACTCAATGTGTTCACCATCCATTAATATTAATATTTTCTCTTCTGTCATGTTTTAAGATCTTATGCTACAGAGTCTCCTACTTTGAGTTGCTATATTTGGATTTAGTATTTGTACTACTATTACTTAAGTATGTGCAAGTAAACTTAAATAATATGGTTTTACAAAGATAATAATATAGTTTTTCTCTGCTAGACCTTGTGAGAGGGAGTGTGGAGGCGCTGGACTGGTTTGTTTCTCACCTTCTGCTTTTTAATACGATTTCTTGTTTATACTTTGCTATCTTTCAAATCCCCCAATCTGGGTGGCTTTGGGTTCTGTTTATGTCAGTCTGACTGGGTGGAGATACAATAACTTTGAATTAGGAAAAGTTGATTGAATTTGGGGTGTGGCTGGAACGATGTCAGCTACCGGCTGTTAGGAATTGTTGGAGTTGAAGTCCAAAACACCTGGAAGGCTCATTTATTTATTTATTATTTACAGTATTCATATTCCGCCCTTCTCACCCCGCAGGGGACTCAGGGCAGATTACAATGTACATATACATGGCAAACATTCAATGCCATAGACACACAACATATAATAGACAGACACTCAGAGGCTATTTAACAATCCAGTTTTTTTTCCCCTGAGGGTATTCTGGCCACCAGGGGAGCTGTCACATCGTCTGTTTGTGACACTGATGAAGTACTTCCTCATTCCTTGCATGCTTGCTGGAGATTTTTATGGCCTCGTAAATTAGTTAAATTAGCCTCCCCACATAAGTGGTACCTAAATTTCCTACTTGACAGATGCAACTGTCTTTCGGGCTGCAAAGGTCGACAACAAGCTACAGAAATTGGTCAGAAGCTCACTCCGACCAAGGTTGGCTTCGAACTTTCAGTCAGTAGTAATGTTAATGCAGCTGACTCTCAGCCAGTTGCACCACAGTCCCAGTGCTCAAGTTTTCTTGTGCCTGGTATAGAGCAATTTTACACTTGGGGTTCCCACCTTATATTTATTCAACCATTATCTGAATGATATGAGTGTGAGAAATACAATTTTGAGGGCATGTATTTATGTTGTGTTTGGTTTTAATATTCATGCCTAGGTTGAGATCAGATTTGTGCATAAATGTCTTCATGTTGATCATGCTATGCAACCCTTGCATTGAATGTCAATGTTGCACAACTGCATCTACACTAAAATATTTAATCCAATGTGTAATGGATCGTACATGTAGATCTTCACATGCATCATGCAGATCCAAACCAAATAAAGACATTCTCCATTGGACAAACATGTCCAATGAAGGGGAACTTGCACACACGTAAGGCCAACAGGATTCCAGCCATAATATTATCAAAATGTGTCACTGCACTATTTTTTTTCCTTTTTACTAAATCACCTATTCCAGAATTTGAGGTTTTGTTGAACTGGGTCTCTGTGAGTTTACTTGCTGTGTTTCAATTTTGTTTACCTGCTGTGTTTCCTTTGGAAGAGTGTGCAATATCTTTGTTTGTGGATATCTAATGTGGGGAAATACAACAGCTAATTAGATTAGACATTAATAATCCTGTCCACAGAGACAAAAGGTTTATCATTTAAAATGCTAAACTACTAATATTCACTGACATTTATAATGGAAGCTACACTTCTGGTGTGTCTTGTATAGAGTCATTCTGAGTACGGCGTCCCAGTAGACCAAATATCTCTAGCTCTGCCTCCTCCTCTTTGTGTTTGCTAATTTATCTCGGCTCTAATTAATTATATGTCTCCCACCACTTATAAAAACTCTTAACAGCAGGGGGGTTGCATGGAATATTACAAAATTACCATATCAATGCTTACTAATTGGTGATTTATCTGCCAAGGCACGACAACTACTCTGATGCATGGAAATATACATGCAACCTTCCTGATTGCAAAGAAGTCCATTAGCTATACCAGGGACTGCAAATAAGCACAGAAAACTCTTCCAACTCATCCCCCTTCCAGTGAAAATGCATGGACATCAAAAAGTGTCATCTACAGTGCGGAGACTTGCATTAGGTGATATATTACATTTATGACTCCTGATCCTAAAATTATAGCAGTCGTCGTAAAGTGTGTTCTGCTTTCCAATGAATCACCTTCCTGGCAGGGGATAGTGTAATGGACAATCATTAGGTATAATATCCCATATCTCTGGATCTGGCTCCCTTTCTTTCAGTTAGGAATCTCAGGGCAAGAGCAAACTGCTTTAAAGTAGTACAGTGTTCTCTCGTGGTTCACTTACCACAGACTCACTATTTTGTGGTTGTTATATTGAATCACAAGTCAGACACTTCCCAAGTGTCTAGGACTGTGTGATGTATCAGTGAATAATGCATGCAGATCACAGTAGAGTGGCCTTTTGCAGATGACAGATGGTAATTTTATCTGCATCGGTTGTGTTTAAGTGCAGGCCAGGGTCTTTAGGCACTGCACCCAGTGTGCCAGTCACCACTGGGACCACCTTCACTGGCTTGTGCCAGAGTCTTTGCAGTTCAATCTTTAAATCCTCATATTGTGTCAGCTTTTCCAGTTTTTTTCTCTTCAATCCTGCTGTAACCTGGGATTGCAGCATTGACAATCCACACTTTGTTTTTTAACACAATCATGAGGTCAGGAGTATTGTGCTCCAGAACTCTGTCTGTCTGATTCGGAAGTCCCAGAGGAGTTTGACGTGTTGATTATTACTACTACTACTACTACTACTACTACTATTATCACTACTACTAATAATAATTATCTTAGCCATTGAACTAATGGAGCTATATCTAGCCTCAGTACAAGTACTAGTCCCATCCAGAGTACAGTACAGACTGATGATTTGTACTTGGTTGTTTGCTGACAGATTTCTATTACTAACCTAGCCACACTCTTCAGTTATCCCTGAAATAATACACCTTGGATTTAGGGCAAAATAGCCATCTTGTGCCTTCTCTTGCCTTGGACCAGTTCAACTTATTATTCAGGTCATTCAATCAGCTTGCCACCTCAAAATGAGAATGCTGCTCTCAAATCCTTGACAGATTTAAAGATCATGGTCTGAAACTGATTAGTCTGCCCATTGGAGACAGTCCATCTTCACCCAGGTCAGGCAATTCAGGTTCCCCAAAGAATGAAACAATCTCCTGCATCCTCAAGGAGGATGTTTTTGTCTGTTATAGACTGAACTTCCACTTAACAGGTGACCCTTAAGCATTAAGTGCTATCAGAGGCAGAAATGGCAGGGATGCTGGAGGAGGAAAATCCAGATTTTGAAAGAATTATGACTGGAATGAAACTACTTTAACTGCCATGGCTCAGTGGTATAGAATCATGAGAGCTATGCTTTTACAAAGTATTTATCTTTCTCTGACAAAGAGTGCTGGTGCCTCACCAAACTGTAAATCCAAGGATTTCATAGCTCTGAGCTGTGGCAGTTAAACCAGTATCAAACTGCATTAATTTTTGTCGAAGGCTTTCATGGCTGGAATCACTAGGTTCTTGTGGGTTTTTTCAGGCTATAGAGCCATGTTCTAGAGGCATTTCTCCTGACATTTCGCCTGCATCTATGGCAAGCATCCTCAGAGGTAGTGAGGTCTGTTGGAATTAGGACAATGGGTTTATATATCTGTGGAATGGCTTGAACCTTGCATTATTTTTACAGTGTAGATCAGTGTTTCTCAACGTGGGGGTTGGGACGCTTTGGGTGGTCGTGAGGGGGTGTCAGAGAGGTCACCAAATACCATCAGAAAGTATAGTATTTTCTGTTGGTCATGGGGGTTCTGTATGGGAAGTTTGGCCCAGTTCTGTCGTTGGTGGAGTTCAGAATGCTCTTTGTTTGTAGGTGAACTATAAATCCCAGCAACTACAATTTCCAAATGTCAAGGTCTATTTTCCCCAAACCCCACCAGTGTTCACATTTGGGCATATTGAGTATTTGTGCCAAGTTTGGCCCTGATCTATCCTTGTTTGAGTCCACAGTGCTCTCTGGATGTAGGTGAACTACATCTCCAAAACACAAGGTCTATGTCCACCAAACCCTTCCAGTATTTTCTGTTGGTCATGGTAGTTCTGTGTGTCAAGTTTGGTTCAATTCCATCATTGCTGAAGTTCAGGATGCTCTTTGTTAACTATAAGGTTAACTATAAATCCCAGCAACTACTCTCCCAAATGACAAAATCAATCTCCCCCCAACCCCACCAGTATTCGAATTTGGGCGTATTGGGTATTTGTGCCAAATTTGGTCCAGTGAATGAAAATACATCCTGCATAATAGATATCTACATTATGATTCATAATAGTAGCAAAATTACAATTATGAAGTAGCAACAAAAATAATTTTTTGGTTGGGGGTCACCACAACATGAGGAACTGTATTAAGCGGTCGCGATATTAGGAAGGTTGAGAACCACTGGTGTAGATGCACTATTGGAAGCCCTGCCTTCTCCAATTAGTTCTAATGAATATATACTGTTTTGCTCCCTCTGCTTTATTTTCAATGCAAACTGATAAAGTAGTTCAGGGTGTGTGAGAGAAAATGCCATGGTTGTTTGAAACTGGAACCCCAATCTTCCAGCTCCCACACTCAAGACTATGTAACCACTAGACCCAGCTGACACTTGTCATTGAGGTAAAAAGCTGAAATCAAGCCAGTGCTTCCACTACCAACTTTTGCCAGGAACTGTGGAATATCAGTGACAGTATCTGATGAAATCAGCCAGATTGTAGTATAGTGATGATGTATAGCCTGGCACAGGATGCAAACCATCAACACACCTTGCAATACAAAGCATAACCTCTATTCTTATTTGTTACAGGAGCTGTCGTGATTGCCTTTGTGGTCTGCTGGCTTCCCTATCATGTACGGAGACTCATGTACTGCTATGTGCCAGAAGATCAGTGGACAGAGTGAGTAGCATCCTTCTAAACATTAACTTCAGGATGTTTTGAGTGAATGTCAGCAAGAATGCAGTTTTCTCTACATCTTTCCAAGAGATGTGGGGGACACAACTGGATGGTGAAAAGTTCCCTTTTACAGAGTTTACTAACTAGACTATAGCTCAATGTCTTTTCCTTTACCTTTCACCCTCAAAGGAGGAAAGGTAATAGATGATTATGATGATGATGCCAGAGCCTTTGCAGTTCAATTTTTTTTTACTCAGCCGCTATCAAGACCTCAAAATCGAACTGCAAAGGCTCTGGCATAAACCAGTACAGGTGGTCCCAGTGGTCATTGGCACACTGGGTGCCGTGCCAAAAGATCTCAGCCAGCATTTGGAAACAATAAACATTGCCAAAATCACGATCTGTCAACTGCAAAATGCCATCTTACTTGGATCTGTGCGCATCATTGGAAAATACATCACATAGTCCTAGATGCTTGGGAAGTGTTTGACTTGTGATTTTGTGATATGAAATCCAGCATAGAGATCTCGTTTGCTGTGACATACTGTGTTTTTGTGTCATTAAAATAATAAACTTTATTTATACCCCGCCACCATCTCCCTGAAGGGGACTCGGGGCGGCTCACATGAGGCCAAGCCCAAAAATACAATACAGTAAAATAAAATACAAAACAACAGAAAAAAATTACATCAGAACAAAATACATAAAATCACAAAATAAAATGAACAATGCAAAATAACACAATAAAAGTCAAACAAATAGGGCGGGCCAAATGCACAGATAGAATTTTTTTTTTTTGGTCATGTCAGGAGCGACTTGAGAAACTGCAAGTCGCTTCTGGTGTGAGAGAATTGGCTGTCTGAAAAGACGTTGCCCAGGAGACGCCCGGATTATTTGATGTTTTTATCATCCTTTTGGGAGGCTTCTCTCATGTCCCCGCATGAGGAGCTGGAGCTGATAGAGGGAGCTCATCCACCTCTCCCCAGATTCGAACCTGCGACCTGTTGGTCTTCAGTCCTGCCGGCACAGAGGTTTAACCCACTGTGCCACCGGGGGCTCCACAGATAGAATAATAAAACCCTGGTTGAGATAGGAATAGAAAAAGTGCCTTTGTGGGGAAGAGGGGAAGAGCCTGAGAAGGAGGAACAAAGGGGTTAAGCCTTCATTAGGGACAGGTGAAAGTGCATCATGAGGACATAAGGCTGTTCTTACCTGTGTTTCCTTGTCCACTTCATAATTTCTCCTGCTTCTTTTCCATCAGCTTCCTTTATGACTTCTATCACTACTTCTACATGCTGACAAACATCCTCTTCTATGTGAGTTCAGCCATCAACCCGGTCCTCTACAACTTGGTGTCTGCCAACTTCCGCCAAACCTTCCTCTCGACACTCTTGTTCATGTGCCTGCCATGGAGAAAGAAGAAGAAGCGAACCAAGTTCAACCGGAAGTCCAACAGTATCTCCAGCAACCATACCTTTTCCAGCCAAGTCACCAGAGAAACCACATATTGAGGCCTGGGCATGACCCAGGAAGGAAACAAGAAGTGTCTCAATTCATGACAGAAGTTGGAACTTGGGAAGAGGGCTGTCCTGCTTTTAAACATGGCCTCCAAATTCACCATAGCATGAATGTGTTTAGCTGGTTGTCATACATTGGGACGAGTAGATGTCTGTTCTACAAGGTTAACCTTGGGGTTATGTTGTCGCATTGGCTTCTGCCTATTGTGCGTAATGTCTCGATATTTGTAATTTTGATCCAGCATAGACGTCACCTGTGATGTCATCCAGAAAGCTGTCAATGTTGGCCAAGCTTGAGCGCTTCTTGTGCTGCGGTCCATCCATTTCTCACTTTAGAAGTGCCGTGGAAACACTGAAAAATAAGGACTAAGACCATTGCTTCTAGTGGTCTTGAAGAGATAAAATGATATGGGGGCTGGGTATGTATTGTGGTGGGGAGGGGGTCTTTTCTTTTTAGTGAAATGGGGTGTTGCTTTTTTAGGGGGGAAGGGAAAGTTATTCATTAAGACTTTAAAGAAAGAGGAATGTAAACTGTTCAATAAAGAAGGGCATGCAATACTCAGGGAATGAGGTTATTGTTGTGTTTTTGGAATTAAGTCTGAGTTCAAGTTCTGTACTCCATGTTTAAGAAGAGACATTTAGACTCCAATTTATTGCTTTGGTAAGCTACTGGTGACATCTTCCATTTAGCCTTTGGAGAATTATATATTAGGTTTCCTGGTCCAGAAAACTGTCCTTTCTTTTAGTTTGGTTTTGTATGTGCTTCCTAAGGAATGACTAAATTTATTGAAGACTAAATTTCTTAATTTCCAAATACATTTAAAATATCCCAATTTCTCTCCTCTCTTGTGAAACAGATCTTGGAGTCCTTGTGGACAATAATTTAAACATGAGCCAACAATGTCATGCAGTAGCAAAATTAAAAAAAAACAATGGGATGTTGGCCTGCATAAATAAAAGTCCAGTGACTAGATACAGGAAAGTCATGGTACCCCTCTATTCTGCCTTAGTCAGACCACACCTGGAATCACACCGTAATTGAAGGGAGCTGTTGACAAGCTGGAATGTGTCCAGAGGAGGGCGACCAAGGGTCTGGAGAACAAGCCCTATGAGGAGTGTCTTAAAGAGCTGGGCATGTTTAGCCTGCAGAGGAGCAGGCTGAGGGGAGAAATGATGTGGACCATGTACAAATATGTGAAGGGAAGTCATTTGGAGGAGGGAGCAAGTCTGTTTTTTTCTGTCCTGGAGACTGGGATGCGGAAGAAAGGCTTCAAACTATAGGAAAGGAGATTCCACCTGGACATTGGGAAGAACTTCCTGACTGTGAAAACTGTTCAGCAGTGGAACTCTCTGCCCCTGAGTGTGGCAGAGGCTCCTTCTTTGGAGGCTTTTAAACAGAGGCTGGATGGCCATCTGTCGGGGGTGCTTTGAATGCAATTTTCCTGCTTCTTGGTAGGTGGTTGGACTGGATGACCCATGAGGCGTCTTCCAATTCTATGATTCTATGATTCTTCCTACTTTTAATGAGCTGCAAACTCTCAATTCAGTGAGGAAAAATAAGAGCAGGAAGCAAAACCCTTCCCTTTACTGCCATTAAAAATGCATTGGGAGCAGATTTCCATGTGCTGACCAGAAAATATCTTGGACACAGTTGATCCAGGCCTTGAGTCCCAGTTCAGTAGTCTATTTCAGATGATACAGAATTGTTTTTGCTGAAAAAAATCATTGTGTTCAAAAGCAAAAAAGTGACACAATTTTCTGTGTATGACAGTTTTATTTTATTTATTCTTCACTTCATTTTTACCCCACCTTTCTTACCCATGGAGACTCAAGGCGGCTTAAAGATCTGGCAAGACTTCAGTGCTGGTAAAAACCAACAATAAACAGTAAAAGCATATCCCACAATTAAAACGATTAACACTGGGTTGTTGTAGGTTTTTCTGGGCTATATGGCCAAGTTCTAGAGGCATTTTCTCCTGACGTTTCGTCTGCATCTATGGCAAGCATCCTCAGAGGTAGTGAGGTCTGTTGGAAGTAGGAAGTTCCTACTTCCAACAGACCTCACTACCTCTGAGGATGCTTGCCAGAGATGCAAGCAAAACGTCAGGAGAAAATGTCTCTAGAACTTGGCCACATAGCCCAGAAAAACCTACAACAACCCAAAACGATTAACAGTTAATCAAATAAACACATAAAACAGTATACAAATTAAAAACATATAAGGTGTATAGTTCCATTCATCCGATAACATTGCTCAAATCCTTAATTCAGACTGTGTTGAAACACGTAGTACCTTATTCTTTGAATGCTTGTGTGCAAAGCCAAGTCTTTAGAGTTTTTCTGAAAGCCAGAAGGGGTGGAGCATGCCTGATGTCACTGGGGAGGGAGTTCCACAGCCGAGAAGCCACCATTGAGAAGGCCCTGTCTCTCATCCCCACCAATCGCACTTGTGAAAAAGGTGGGACCAAGAGCAAGACCTTCCCAGACAATCTAAAATTTCCAGTAGGCTCATAGGAGGAGATGCATTTGGGCAGATAAGTTGGACCGGAACCATTTAGGGCTTTATAGGCCAAGACCAGCACTTTAAACTGGGCTGTAAAACTGAGACACTCAATTTTACAACAGAGTGTATCTAGTACTTCTGAGGGCTGATTCTGTCCCAGGAACTACTTCTGTCCCAATATCTGCCATGTCACTGACTTTTGGATGCAACTCATCAAAATTTATTAAGCCAAGCGCAAAAAAAAAATATGTTTCTTTCAGTGGGGTCTTCCTCCTTATTACCATTTTTATGGCAGTCCAAAAACCCATTCCAAAGCAAGCCTTTGCTCTTTCCTTTAATGGCATTTAGTAGATTGCTGCTGAAAATCAGTGGTGTGATTTGCTGTCACATTTAATCAGCACAGTTTTTTGTGGGTCACATACACTTCATGAGCTGCATGCTGTTTTAAAAGATCGCAAGGTGAACAAAGAGCATTGCAGTTTAGAAAGCATCCACTGCAAGCAATTATCTTTACACAAGCGAGAAGGAATGCAGTATAGAGGGCCATCCCATCTGTGTCTAACAGAGAAACCAATCCCATAAATTAGAGTGAGATGTATTGTCGAAGGCTTTCATGGCCGGGATCACTGGGTTGTTGTAGGTTTTTTCGGGCTATATGGCCATGGTCTAGAGGCATTCTCTCCTGACGTTTCACCTGCATCTATGGCAAGACCTCACTACCTCTGAGGATGCTTGCCATAGATGCAGGCGAAATATCAGGAGAGAATGCCTCTAGACCATGGCCATATAGCCCGAAAAAACCTACAACAACCCAATTAGAGTGAGGCTTATTTCCATGTAACTGGGTGTGGGGTTGTCGCTATACTGAATTTGACACTGGTATGCTTATCATCAGCCAGATTTATTGAATACATACAAAACAATATCTGGTAACAGGTGAGAAACATTAGTTTAGACCAGTTCAAACTGTGTTCAGTGGGTTAAGCCACTGAGCAGCTGAACTTGCTGATCAAAAGGTTGCAGGTTCAAATCCAGGGAATGGCGTGAGCTCCCACTGTTAGCCCCAGCTTCTGCCAACCTAGCAGTTCGAAAACATGCAAATGTGAGTAGCTCAATAGATACTGCTCCAGTGGGAATGCAGTCATGCTGGCCACATGACCTTGGAGGTGTCTATGGACAATGCCAGCTCTTCAGCTTAGAAATGGAGATGAGCACCAACCCCCAGAGTTGGACATGACTGGACTTAATGTCAGGGTAAAACTTTACCTTAAACTGTGTTGTCCAGATCATCCTGGAGTTTCTCAGAAAATTATCTTAATTATCTTATGCTTCTCACTGAGATAATTGCTGTTGTCGTTGTGAACATTCAGAGCATTTCCAGCATATAGAGACCCTTTTGTGGTTTTCTGGGACTTGCTCAAAGTTACCCAATGAGAATTTACAGTTCAGATAAAAGAGAAGATGGGTTGTATCTATCAGAAATATCCACCATAGGACTTCTAGAAAATACATTTTCAAGCTTTCTTTGTTCCCAGAAATTGTTGTCATACAGCAGCATAAAAAAATCAGGCTCAAAAGTGCATCGTGCTTCTGCTAAATTTCCTCCAGATTGGGCTTTCTCTCCCAAAGTCCAGCAAGCATCCGTGCATGTAATGCTCCACTAATCTTGTCTTTTGTGGAAGGAGCAAGGTTTCGGTTGAGTGACTCCGATCTTCAAGAAGCAAATACAACAGAAGGACAGCTGGGAGGCCTAATGGGGACACACGGTGTAAACAGGATCGTAAACAGATGCTTTCCTTGGGCATGTCAAATTATAGTTTTTTTCACTCTCCAAAAGATTCGGCAAATGCATTACTAGAGTGAAATGCCCTTACCGGCTTGTATCTAAATCTCTCTTTATATAGCGTAGCAGATTTTTCTTAAGCAGCCCTTCGTGCAAACTTCATGAGACAGCAAATGCTTTCATGCACAACGATTTTGAGCCGCATTCCAATATTTTCTTGGGCTTGCTCCATTGCTGTAGAGCGGAGGAGGATGTTTCACATGCTGCCCTTTTGCAATCATTCATTTTCTAAAAGATTACTTTTGGATTCTGTTCAGAGCTTGGAATTCCTTTTTTTTTTTTCTTCTATTTTTTTGAACCACAACTTGAAAAATTCCCCAATGATGTGTTCTGCAAGGTGCAATCTAATGTTTCAACTGTTACAGGCTAGTTATCAGAATACAAAACACAAAAGTAAGACACCTTTTCAGTTCTATATTTTTGTTTTGTCTGAACTGTAGGGTTTTTTGTCCACATTGCTACTAAACGCTCTGGGTAACAAAGAACATGAAGCAACCAAAGGTCAAGATCTTATGCCACAGATGGGCAAAGTTTGGGAATTAGAGGTCCACATTGGCCTCTTGGGTCACCTTGGAAAGCCAAATTCCTCTGGAAAAACATCTTCTTCTGTTGGCTCCCCAATGGCTTGGGATGCCCCAAGACCAAATAGTGTCATGTTTTTGGCCTAGAGGGTGATAATGGCAAATTCTGGGACCTTAGGACCGCATATCACCTTGGCTATAAAGACTATACTTTCCCTTCTGTCTATGTGTGTAAGCCTAGTAGAGAGGAAAGTTCAACCAATATATTTACACTGGACTGCAGACCATCAGAAAATGAAGACAAGAGTGCCCAGCATGATAGTGGCTGTCCCTGTCTTCATCAGGAAGTTTTCCAGAACTTTGTTTACCATTCATTTATGGTCATAGTGGTGAAGCTGCACTCAGACAAGAAAGTAAGACAAGCCACTACTATGACAGGTAAAACAAAGGAATCCTTCGCATAAGGAGGTGCACAAATTTCTGCAAAAGTGGAAAAACTACAGAGGTTAGTGAACCTTTTAGTCACCTAATGAAATGTCCTTAGACCAGAGTTAGAGAAACATGGAGCTAACAATGAAATTCTATCGTTGTCTTCCACTTAGAGTGGACCCATTGTATCCCTTGAATGTACATTGTTGACTCGCCATTCAATAATTCATTCAATTACTTAGGTTGTGAGTAATCAATGGGATTTAGGTCA